GTGTATATATATATATATATCTATGTGTGTAGATATATATAAAATATACAACGTAAAAATAAGCATACATGTATAAATAGCCGCCACTTATATGTACATATCTTTTAGTACATCTATCTATCTATCTATCTATCTATATATATATATATATATATATATATATATATATATATATATATATATGTATGTGTGTGTGTGTGTGTGTGTGTGTGTCCAATACGGAACTGTCATTTAGCTTGACGTGCCTTTACCGATTTGGCCACGAAGGAACGTTCGGTTAGCAACGTCGAATTTACTTTATTTAAACTTCAATCTTCCAGGAATCTCTCACGTAAATTGGTAAAGGTTCGAATCCTGTCGGAGGACGAATATTTTCTGTGAAAATTTCTCGGACATTCAGGCCGGTAAATGTTGTTTAATAATGTTTATTATAAACAGAGCATTTACTTAAATATTTGTATCTATAAAAAGAATGTATAAACATAAAAATGTCTTAAAATAATTGTCGGAACTTGTCCATTTATATATTATATATATATATATATATATATATATATATATATATATATATGTATATATATATATATATATGTACGTATATATATGTACGTATATATATATGTATATATATATATATATATATATATATATATATATATATATATATACATATATATATATATATATATATATATATATATTTACTCAAATTCAAACAAAAGTGCTTTACCAATGTTTACTAAAGCTTACATACACATAGAGATATACACATTTCTCTATTAAAATATATGTAACAGATAAATAAACAAATGAAAAGTGTACTTGCCTGTAACATTCTAGAAAAATATTCTAAACATATTTCAGTAAAAGATGAAACAATTTTTTATTTACGAGAATTTATATGATAAATAGACAAACGCTTAATCATTTCTGTCTGGTTGAAATAACAATAAGTGCAATGAAGTTAAATGTACGCTAAAATAGCAACCAAGTTGTCAAGACTGAGTGTGTTCGATTCTCACTGGTTTTTCTATACTTTTACCTTCTGTCACATTTAACCTACGCTTAGCGAATCGAATGATGCCCTAAAATGTTTTCAGAATAGCATAAAGTAAATTTACACATGTTGACATTTATTCCAAAGGGAAAAAATTAGAGAATATACATTCGTGTACAGATCAAGCGTGTTAGTGTGATGTAGTATTTTCCAAGCTTATCTCGTAGCCCATAATTATTGAGTACTATTTTTGATTTTCACTAGATATCCTATAATTGTGGCCTTATACCAAAACTAAGCTAAACGTAGTACACACAAACACTCACCCAACATACACACACTTTCCATCTATGTATGTATGTATACATACATATATATATATATATATATATATATATATATAGAGAGAGAGAGAGAGAGATAGATTAGTAGATGGATAGATAGATATACAGACATAGCTAGATAGATATATGAACTAGCTGAGATAGATATGAATTGGATGAGATTGATATGAATTGCTTTGATAGATAGATAGATAGATAGATAGATAGATAGATAGATAGATCTATAGATAATAGATAGATAGATCTAGTAATACTTTAGTGGAAGCAAAATAGAGAAAATTCAGACAATTCAGCAAGATATGCACTTGTACAAATAAACAGAAACTTTATTAGAGAGATCGCAAAAAATAAAGAATGATAGAATGAAGATATATATATATATATATATATATATATATATATATATATATATCTTTATAGACTTTTGGTTCTATATTTATAAACTATGCAGCAGCTTCTACAATGCTGAATGTTCCATTAAAAAGCAAAAACAAATGGTGAACGGCGAATGTGTTGACTGTGTTTTTGCTTGGAGAGTTGTGAACGGAAAAAATCGATAACGAAAAGCGTGTGTTCTAAAGGATGTTGAGGTTGGCAACGTAATGCGATTCGTCCTGGTGCATCTCTCTTAGTCAGTATAAAGCTATCGAACGAAATCAATAGGCGCGGCCTTTAACTTACACAATCATTATATGCTCACTCTCTCGCACACTCTTTCCTTTTCTCTCTATTATTTATTCACGAATCTTTCTACTTACTCCCTCACTCTTTTATGCATTTATTTATGCGTCCCCTCTCTAATTTGTTGTTTATCGTCTGTTGCTTTATTTTCTCCCTGTATTCATTTGCAAGCTCATTTTGACCCGCTAACAATATTCATTGATACTTTATCGAATTTGTCGTTTATTCTAAAGCTAATATATTCGCCTATTCCTTTATTCATTAACTCATGTTGACGTACTTTCTGTCTTCCATTTCTTCCCTTTTATTAAATAATTCCTACTCTTGGCCTTATTACTCATATTTCTCTCTCGGGAGAGTTAATTCAATTTTTCTGTTATTTTTTCTTATTCGGGCAAGCAAAAATAAATAATTATTATGCTTCTTTCACTTAGACACAAATGAAGAGAAAAAGAAAATTGGAACATCGTACTGTGTAAATTATACAAATGAGAAGAGCCTGATTGACTTGGAAATCAGTCTCAGTTTTAGAATAAAATAATTATTAGTACAGATGAGAAAGAAACAATTAAAAGCTTAAAACAAGATATCAGTATTTATATACACACGCATAAACATTTACTAACTTAAAAAATAAGCAAAAATAGACGCACACCAATGTAAATAGACACACACATTCTTTTCTCTTTTTATCTCCCCTTACATACATACACATGCGCACACGCTCTCATTTACTCTCATTTTACTCAACCGTCTGTGAAAGTCTCTTGTTCTTCCTGTTATGAAGTATTACAGCAAACTGGATTCTCTAACGTTGATTGGCAACCAGTCTAGGAGATGGACATGATATTTCTCAGGGAGTCAAGTACACAAATTTAAATAACTTTTCAACAGATGACTTAAAATACGGCGCAGAAATACGAAGGCTCATTAGAATGGCGAAATATGCCTTCCAAAATTAAACAAAAATAAGAAACAAGAAAATTTAATTAAAAACAAAGCAAAAAGTGTTGATTGTTATGTATTATTAATCATCCTACAGTGCAGTGGATGCTGGACAATCTACTCACAGATGAAGAGAAGTTTTCAGACCATATATATTTGGTTCAACAGAAGAATACCGAGAATAACATGAATGGAACATGTGAGTCATGAGAAAATTTTATGAGAAGAAGAAGAAGAAGAAGAAGAAGAAGAAGAAGAAGAAGAAGAGGAAGAAGAAGAAGAAGAAGAAAAAGAAGAAGAAGAAGAAGAAGAAGAAGAAGAAGAAGATGAAGAAAAAGAAGAAGAAGAAGAAGAAGAAGAAGATGATGAAGAAGAAGAAGAAGAAGAAGAAGAAGAAGAAGAAGAAGAAGATGAAGAAAAAGAAGAGGAAGAAGAAGAACCATGTCTCATTCCAAAAAGACATTTGTCACGTTGGTACGACTGCGCATGCGCACCAACGAGGGATGCTGAGGATTTTTACATTTTTTAAGACGATTTCATTTAGAATGATTTTCTTTTTGTTTCATTTGCCTGTGCCATTATATTAGGTAACAGGAATGGGAAAATCTAAGAGCCAGGACGTAAAATTTACTGTGGATGACTTTGCAATCAAGGCACTCTCTAGACATTTCCGTCAAAATTGTAGTCAGTCTTGTTACAGTGGGGGGGGGGACACTTTTCTTTCGTAAAATGTCATACACTTTCCCAAAATATTCTTCTTGATATATAAAAATTTATATGTCGTTAACTGATATCTATCTATCTATCTATCTATCTATCTATCTATCTATCTATCTATCTATCTATATATATATATATATATATATATATATATATATATATATATATATGTGTGTGTGTGTGCGTCTGTGTTTGTATGCGCGCACGCGTGTGTGTATGTGTGTTAGCACTATATTATTTATTTTCTTGTTTCTCTCAAACTTTCTGTTTAATGATTAGGCTGGTAAATAATCATTTGTTTATTTCCCCGATTGAAAATTCACTTCTTCGATTCGATCATTGGCTAATTCGCTGCCACAGACTCGTTCACATATGGGCATATTTCATCAATAAATCAATACTTATCTCTCATCCTAATTTAGTAGCCACCCAACAAACCTAAGCTTTTAATCTCAGCAGACCAAAAACATATTTTTCTCCGTCTGCCTTACGCACACTTTCCAGACTTGGTAAAGTTCATAATCTTTTACACCGTCTTGTGGGGGAAGATCTATATTCCACCCTACAGCCACTTTCCTAAATAAGCAAAACGTTACAAGCCTCATGCTCCTCTGCCGTTATTTCCATGGCAACTGTTCAGTCGAATTCCATTCTTTAATGTAATCAGTTTAAACACTTACATCAAGTAAACGTTTCATTATCTCCACATCCTCCACCTAATTCCTCCATATCCAAAATGTAAAGAAAGAGTTCCAAGAGTTCCAATGAGACTGCTTTTCTCAATTCATATTTTGTGGAACATACTTCCACGTGAACATTTCTCTGAATATATTTTTTAAGTCTATGGTAAATCATTATCTATCATCCTTATCCTCATAATTTTCCCTTTTTACTATCTCCTCTTACATTCATATCACATACCTCATTTATAATAAACATATTAACAATAATATTCTACCTTATTGGCTATCATGCCTTGTATGAGATTTAGTGTAAAAACACATCCAGACTCAAAGCTTTATGTATATCAGATTTCTTCAGCGGCCTTTCTTCTGAAAACTAAAGATTGAATGCAAAACAAAAACTCTATGAATATGACCGGATTCAATAATCAGTAAATGTTAATGCACGCATATATTTACACATGTAAATGAATGACAGGATATAGACCGGTAGAGGTGTTGATGGAGCAAATATTGCTTAGAACAACAAAGGATAGAATTTTGTGGTGAGCCATTATCAGACAGGTCCTGAACGGACACGCATACAAAAGCATTATTATTAGTAGTACTAATAATAATAAAAGAAGAATATTAAAAGAAGAATAAAAGATAAATAAATAACAGAAAAATTAAATCTGAAAAAGAAAGAATGAAAGAAAGTCTAAAAATAGAAATTAAAAAATATATGATAGAAGAAGAAAAACTGAACTGGAAATAAGAATTTAAAAGAAAGAAAGAAAGAAAGAAAGAAAGAAAGAAAGAAAGAAAGAAAGAAAGGCTAAGAAAGAAAGAAAGAAAGAAAGAAAGAAAGAAAGGCTAAGAAAGAAAGAAAGAAAGAAAGAAAGATTACTAAATCAATGGTCGAGAAAGAGAATTTGGACATGAAATAAGTATTTAAAAGAAAGATAAATTAGGAAATGTATAGAAGAAGAAGAAGAAGAAGAAGAAGAAGGAGGAGGAGGAGGTGGAAGAGGAGGAGTAGTAGAAGAAGAAGAATAAGGAGGAGGTGGAGAAGAAGAAGAAGAAGGAGGAGGAGGAGGTAGAGGTGGAGGAGGAGGAGTAGAAGAAGAAGAAGAATAAGGAGGAGGAGGAGGTGAAGAAGAAGAAGAAGAAGAAGGAGGAGGAGGAGGAGGTAGAAGAAGGGGAAAAGAAGAAGAAGCCGCCGCCGCCCTTGGAAAAAAAACAACATATTCTGGATGAATTCAAAGGTTAGTCTGCGCTCGCTAACCATGGGTAGCAACCAGTTTAGGAGAAAGAAATTCCAAACCGTAAAGAAGGCAACAAGAAACCACTATATTGAAACTTCATATAGATGTCATATATATGGCGTCCAGCTCATCCAAAACTGTTTAAACTGACATCAGTTTACGAACTTTTTCAGTGATTAAAAATGGGTTAAAACGAATTTTTCCTATGAATCTTAAAGACAATTTTTCATCAGACCCTATAGTCTGACGCTAAAATTCACAAAAATCTTTACCAAATAACAAAAATCGCATCACTTGAACTATTTTAACAGCAAAATGGGTCATCTAACTAGAAGAGACACCAATGATATTTATCAAGCTATTAACTTTTCACAGTACTAAAAACAAAAGGTTTGGAAGGAAACATTTATCAGTACTAGAAAGAACCATAACTGTCAGTGGACTTGAAAAGTTTAATTTCATGATTTTAATAAAAAAGATTTTATTAATTTCAACCGAAAGTATTATTAAATATTCGGTCAATTCATGGTGAATTTTCCGGTATGGAAACCGCTATTTTTACCTCTAGCATTATTATTTTTACCTGTAGCATTATTATTTTTACCTGTAGCATTATTATTTTCATGTTTAAACCGCGGACTAACTGATGTACCTTCGTATACATGTATGAATTCTATCTATTTAAGCAGCCGTCAATCATCAATACAAGTTTGATTAAAAAGCTATTGAAAAATAATTTTTTAATTCTCAATTAATTTTTCTTACTTATGTACAAGAAAATGCCTCTTGAGATTCACTTAGAGTATGTATTTTTTTACAATGATATTCACCAATTAAAAACCCAAGAGCCACTTAAGATAGAGGGTTACAGAGTAAGGGGAAATATTTATGCGGATATGTGAAGAAGATAACGGTTAACTAGACTGTAACAAGTTAAATGATGTGATCGGAGAAGCATTTCTCTTGGGTGTCGGTTCAACAAAACAGCGCTTCCTAGGAAGAAGCTACTCGAGTGGAACTTCCATCTCACTAATGGAATAGAAAATGAATGACGGTGGTTCGCTACAATGCGCGTAGCGTGGGTGGGGTCTTAGCCGTGAAGGTTAGAACTGATGGAACTAAGGAATTTAGTTCGTCTGAGCAAAGGAATTTAGTTCGTCTGAGCACTTTCCATCGAAATAGAGATAAAGTAACAAAAGAATTCGTCGATGAGAAAGGGGTTGTAAGGTGGAAAATAATTCATCACCCACAGGGAAGCGGAGACGTTTTGGAGCTCCATCGGTACTGGAATGTGAAGACTGGGCAGTTCCTGTGCATATATGACAGCAGTACTCTATTTATAGTCTGATCTGGCTTAGTATTTTAGATGTACTGTTTTTTACTCTACTCCTCAGTATTACCAATATCTCTACCCAAAAATCTAGGGATGACAGTCATTTTCATAAATGTCTAAAAATGGTATTATTTTATTTATGGGATATGATAACTTATTATATTTCTTCAAATATTGTATTATACTATAATGTATGAATGTTAATATCTACGTGGACACACGCATAAATGCATGAATGTTAATATCTACATGGACACACGAATAAATGCATGAATGTTAATATCTACGTGGACACACGCATAAATGCATGAATGTTAATATCTACATGGACACACGAATAAATGCATGAATGTTAATATCTACGTGGACACAGGCAGAAAATACATAAATGTTAATATCTACGTGGACACACGCATAAATGCATGAATGTTAATATCTACGTGGACACACGCAGAAAATACACAAATGTTAATATCTACGTGGACACACGCAGAAAATGCATGAATGTTAATATCTATGTGGACACACGCATAAATGCATGAATGTTAATATCTACGTGGACGCACACATACGTACATAGGGGTTGTTAATATGACAGATCTACTGACAATACAAAATATAATGATACTAACAAATATATATATATATATATATATATATATATATATAGAGAGAGAGAGAGAGAGAGAGAGAGGGGGGAAGAGAGAGAGGTCCTTCCACTTGCCTGAGGAGACCTTAAGGTCAAAACCCGGGTTGCTAGGTTGGTTGCCATGTTAGCCTTTTCTTAAATATCTTAGCTCTACATACTCGATTTTGAATATTGTACTGAACACTTTTTTTGTTGTCTATATCTTTTAAGCGCGGCTGTCTTCGGTCTTCTTTTTACATTTCTATCTATCTATCTATCTATCTATCTATCTATCTATCTATCTATCTATCCTATCCCATTCTATTCCTATCTATCTATCTATCTATCTATCTATCTATCTATCTATCTATCTATTTTAGTCTGTTAGTATCTATCTATCTATCTATCTATCTATCTATCTATCTATCTATCTATCTATCTATCTATCCCATTCTATTCCTATCTATCTATCTATCTATCTATCTATCTAATCAATATTGCTGCATGGCCTGATGATTTGCTTAAGGCGTGGGTATTTCATTCGTCGATTTCCAATCTCAACTCTTTATATCGACATAGGCTTTGTCACTGGAAGAGATAGAACCTATATATCGAGTACTCCTCCCACATAAATATACTAAATTTTAAATAATGTATAAATATATGTATATATATATATATATATATATATATATATATATATATATATATATATATATATATATATATATATATGCGTTATACATATTACTTAGTAGCTTTGCTTGGGATGAAATGATATATATATATATATATGAAACATTTCTCAGAGTTAACCTGTAGAAAAAGACATTATTTATAAATGTAAAATAGTAATACCCAAATATTAATCTAAGCCAAGGCTTTTTCACTACTGCACCTTTCTTAACGGAATTACTCCCCTCCCAAGCAAACGTACACAACTGTATCAAGAAATCAAAAGAAAATGGTTGGATCCGTCAACACAGCAATAATAACAATATCTCCACACGTAACAGTAATTAACGTAATTTTCAGTTAACAGTATGGAAATAGCGTTGTCTAAATGTTATAGAGTAGTTTCACAGTAGAGGCTTGTATTTCACTAAGTCGGTCCTAAAATAGGTTCGACGTACAAAACGTTGGGAATTTGATAAAAAATAGGTAATGACGCAGAGTAATCTAGTTGCGGTCGCTGATACTTTAATATCCGACTAACGGTCGTCCGACATCGACTGACTGACCAACTCACTGAGAGTATTTAGTAACCCCCCCCCACGAGGGCATCATGTGGCACAAGGCCGGTTTAACGTGGGATCTCCGAGCCCGTGGGCTCGGCCAAAAATATGCCCATTGAACCCGTATAAACGGGTTCAGGGTCGGTTTACCTCCCCGAAAGAGACTCCGCCCTTCGGCGTAGCCTCGTTCGGGTTCCTCTCTGCCCTCACTGAGCCACTGGCGACTGCTACTGCTACTAGTCCTACTTATTATAGGTGGGAGAGTCTATTAACAATAGAATAGGCGTGTTCCAGTATAACACTAAATTCTTCCAGTTGCTAAGGACATTTTGTTTTGTTATTATTAGTTATTATTTGTTTAATAAATTCATTTCATTTCTCCTTGAAAAAGTTCACATCGGACGAAACGCATCGGCAACTATTACAGTTTTCCTATTGTCTTTTATATATATATATATATATATATATATATATATATATATATATGTGTGTGTGTGTGTGTGTGTGTGTGCTTTCATCGCAGTATATATATAACTACATAAAGGAACAACTTGTTCATATCTTTTTACAAATAGATCTGAACAAATTGAGATAGATAGATAGATATGACCAAATTGAGATAGATAAATAAATAGATATGAACAAATTGAGATAGATAGATAGATAGATAGATAGATAGATAGATAGATAGATAGATAGATAGATATAAACAAATTTTGATTGATAGGCATGTACAGATTGAGACAGGTAAAGAACGATTATGAGAATAAACATTAGAAATAGGAATTAAGACAAAAATTAGACTAAAAAATATAAATTATTTTATAATTGGATGCTGAAAAGCTATTCTATTCAAATTCAAAACAATGAATATTATTTTATCATTGTAGCCAGAAAGGCTTTTCTTTTATATTGTAAAATGCCAAATTGCAAGACCTTGCAATTATTTTTTTAATTTGTTTCAGATAATTGAGAGAACCATTTAAACAAGTGTGCAATTTCCAAGTCTTGAAGTGCACACGGTCATAGAGTTCCTTTTCTTTTGCAGAAGAAAATTCCAACTGATATCCATAAGTGCATGATGCAAACATTTGATGATAAGTCGTGTGCCAAGTTTCAACGTGAAGATTTTGAGACCTATGACACAACATGGTCTGGAATTGTTGGTCATGCATTTTATTTAATTTTGGTTGATCAACGAATCTCAGTCGAAAAAATCAATAAAAGTGTTGGATTTATAATTCATGATTAATTGAGTTGTATAATTCAAGATTACTTGTAGAATTTGTCAGTCAAGAGATTTTTAATAAATTGTTTGAATGATAACAAGAAATGATATCGTGTGGACAGTTTTATGTTTATTTTGAAACTTTTTCATAATTTAGTAATAATTTTGCGGAACGACTTGCTATTGATGACAATTTTTACGCCACTTTACTCCAGAAAGCAGACAATAGTCCATGGAGTTGTAATCTTGGAGGCTGAAGAAGTCCAATACCAAAAAGTAAGCAGGAAGAACCAAAAGCTTAATACAGAATAATAATTTTTGCCTTCTAAAGAAGGCATTTTATTTTTACTGATAGCTCACTCAAAACAAGTCCTAAGGGCTTCTGAAGTTACAGATTTTTTTTTAAGCGTTTCACCCCAAACAAGGCGGGAAGCCACTAGGACGCAAGGGGTTACAGAAAATTTGGAGCAAGATCAGATAGGAATGATAGAAGAAAGGATGAGGAGAAGGGTAGTGGATAGATCAAGGCAACTGGAGATGTCGATTGACATTACATTTGAATAGCTTGAGATTATAGCTCTCAGGGAAACTAGAATAGGGAAGGGAGTTCAACAGGCGAGAGGTGCGAGACATGAAGCTATTGGAGTAGAAGAGACGGCTACATTTAGGAGTTTCGACAGTGAAGGGGTGAGAGCGGGATGCCAGCCGAGGTGGGCACTTGAACTCATGAAGTCTGGGAACCAGCGAATGCAGCTTCTCGGAGCAATTGCCATGAAAGTATTTGTAAAACAGACAGAGAGAGGCGACGGCGCGTCTGTGAGAAAGTGACTGTAGACGAGATGCCAGATCAGGGTCAATTATATTGCATATCCGCCTCTGGAGCCTATCAAGAACCCTGAGGCAAACAGAAGGGGCTCCAGATCATATATGGCAGCAATACTCCATGCAAGGGCGAATTGTTGCTTTGTAGATCTGGAGGATCGATTCCGGGGAGAAAAATTTCCTGGCGCGGTACAGGGAGCCAACTTTCCTTGCGGTGGACGAAGCAATTGACTCAATGTATTTGTTCCATCTCAGGTCAGCAGTCAACGTGAGACCGAGCAGCCGCAGAGAGGTGCTCTCGAGAAGTTGAGCGCCAGACATTCTAATGGAGGACAGGGAAGGATCTCTGTGGTGATTAATAGAGAACAGTTTTGTTTTTGAAGCATTAAAGTTGACCAGCCAATTCCTGCCCCAGTTCACAACCGATTGGAGGTCCTTTTCGAGACGCACGGCCAGGTTATTTTTTACTGAGTGAGATTGTAAGGGATGGAAAGGAAGGGGTAATAAATATATATTATGATGATGTATAGGATAGATATCATTTGACTCTGGAATTAAAGAATTGCAGTTGTCAGAGAAATATATTTTTCCATAAAGTAAGTGAGTGGAAGTTGCTTTTTTATCGAAGCGAAGAAGGATGTTTTGCCTCTGTTAACACAGTATAGGCGATCCTAGCTGTGAAGGTCCGTCAAAGAAGATAACTCATCCGGGCATCTGCCACAGTAATATCGATATAGTAGCGAAAGGCTCGCGACATCTTGTCTATGGGATAGAGGATGGAGAGTAATTCATTACCTACGAGGCCGCGTAAGAGCTTTTTAACTCTATGGAAACTGGACAGTGAGGCTTGGGCAGAACCAGCCGATAGATGGCAGCAATATCTGACAATTATAAAGATAGAGCATTGCAGTAAGAGTTACCCCTAGCGACTACTTACGGAACCCTAGAGTTCAGGGAAATAACGGTTGAGAAACACTGTTATAGACTCTTCAATTTAAAGATCTTGCTGTATCTGATTATTTACCGTTTACTAACCTCAAAGCTAATTTTAAGGAAGGGATGTTTCGATTGATTCAGATATGATAACAGCCGTAGAGTAATACTTCAGTGGTCAAATATGAATGTTTTGAAAGATTTAAAGAAACTTATACGGAATATCATATATGTTTCATGGCCACACCTTACAGCATACATGGTTCTGGTCCACTCTTTTGCTGGCCGAACTAAGAATTTTGCAATATTACTTGATAGCTTTGTAGCATTTCTTTCATTTTTTACGTATTTTTGGCAAATTCAGTTCAAACTATCTAGATAAACATTTATATAAGGAGAAATCTTTTTTTTTCAGATTAGTTATCAAAATAGAAAAATGTTTCTTTAAAATGTATTTTCTGTAATAACTGATTCTTTTACTAGATACAGTAACATTTTGAAATCAATTAGAAAATAACAAAAGAAAGTTTTATATTATGA